AATCAGTGCAGTCTGCGAAACACACCAGGTACTTAAGAGTCGCGTTGTCCACCGATTTTACTTGACAAGATATGTGTGTGTTAGCTCACTATTCATGCGATCATTCATGTCAAAAAGTTAAGCGGATTGTAGGTACTAAAAGGGGCCATCATGCTAGAATTTTTCTTGCATGCATTTCCTCCCCCCCCGAATGAATATGTACTGGGACCGTTTTCTTTGACCTAATTTGCGCCATCTCAAGCTGATTCTCAGCATCCAGCTTAAAGATTTAGCCGCTACATTGACCTATTCTGTAGTGACACAAAAAGGGTTAAAAATAAATTCTTAACAACATTGGGTACTCCTTACGTAACTGCCATTCATCGAGGCTGTCGGGAAGCAGCTCAGTGTTTTACTTGAGTGTTACATTTTAAGAGTTCTATTTGCATTGCAGTAGTTCTACCGTATAAAAGAGCACTCCATCGTCATTCTCCCATCCTCCTTGATGAAACGTCCAAAAACCGCGAAATGCTTATAAAACTGTTTAAATGGTCTTTCTAGGTGACAACAAGCAAAGGGACGGTGCGCTTATGCCAAGTAAATCCAATATCTATAATTCAAATGTCATGATCAGGAATTGGAAAGCCATTACATGTCATCTATCCTAGATGATAACATATTTTGTCTTCTGTCTTTGTATTTGCCCATCGATGGTGCATATTTAGTCCCCTCTCGAAAGTGCTCTTATGCCCAATGACTGCACGTGCTTAAACACCTAGGAGCCGCGATTTATTAAATGGCAAGAAACAAGAAACCTACTGATTATTCCTTAATTTTCTGTAGTTTTATTTTTGTATTCTTGCTGCATAAATGTTTTCGTCAATCACGTGATTTCTTTCTAGATATTTTTATGATTCATCGTGATATTACTTCTGATTCTTTTCACCAAAATTTTCTTTTGCCAATGAATTCTGTGCGTTTCAGATTTTGTTTGCTTTTGTTTATTTTACTTCGAGCAGTAAAATATTCATTCATCCATTCAATCGTTAAATATGGCTAAGCAGGTAACATAGGTCCAATTTTTTTCTGGTCTTTTTCTGTGTAACGAGCTTCAGCACTTGAAAGAACGACTTACGTTATGTTCATAAACTTTACATATTACACTCATCACGTACCGAAATCAGCCTTATGTTAAGCTGTTCGAACATAATTCTTCATAATTGTGTGGTGCAAGTACTCTCAATGCTTATTTCTCTACACAACAAGTACCAACAAGCTGTAATAAAGCGATTCGCTGATTTTTGGTCAAATTTTTGAATAAACTGCCAATTATATATGTAACACGAGCATGCAATAATCCTCTTTAAGATTACTACTACGTGCATTGCTATAAATGATTTAGCTTAAACCAATTACCCAATGTAAATGATTGAAATTGCATAAGAACCGTCTTGCTGCTATACGCTGTTTGCGTATGTGCTTTTACTGACAGTGAAAAGAATTATCTTCCTGTATGGCGTTGATAAGTGACGAACACCTTTTATTTGAAATTCCTTCTTTCGAGGCATAGTTGTTGCTTCATACCTTAGGATGTGATTACTGATTCGTCATGAGATCTCCCTCTTAAGTTAAAGAGAAAACCTGGTTCATTAGAATATTATCTCAATCAACCTCTAAGTTGGTTCTCATGACACTCTGTACACAATTTCTGACGGCCTACATGGATGCTAGTTGGATAATAGAAGCGAAAGTACTTCGCAGCAAGAGACCGATCGTATGCTATGCTAATCAGCGGCTCCAATTAACCATCAACCTCTCATTGATAGTGTTTTGTTCTCCACCCCTCCCATAAGGAAATGAGGGGGAAAACAGAATGAATTTAGTACCATATTACAGAAAATTACAAAATGCAACGCATTCTATGTGCAGAAGTACTCCTGCTTTAAAATGCGTGCTATTCATTGCTTTGTACGGGCTGAAAGGAACCTTAAAAATCAAAGGAAGTTCTGATTCGTCGAGTATTATTTTTCATTGGGTAACAAAATACAAATATTAGCCTAGCCAAAATATTGCATTTTAGTATTACTGAGCACATTCCAACGTCCTACAGATGCCTACGAACGTCTTTTCGCTACGAAGTGTTGCTTCATCGCCAGAGTTATCTGAAGAGTGAAGCCAGCATTCTTATCCTAGAGGATATTTCCGTCTTAAATATAAAACAGACCTTATATTTGCAGGTTACTCGTTGCAAGCTGGTTCCTAACCCATCGCATAAAAAATATGGCTCTTTCCTCTGTCATCCGCAAAGCATCAAGGACATCGGGAGTGAAGCCGTAACGGCAATAAGGAAACAATTACAATCTAGGTCAGAAAAAGTGACTCTACCTTTCAGTGATAAGAAACCTTCCCTCTGTAGCGATTCACCGTCAGCGCAGACATCATTTGGACAGAATACCGAATTGTAGCAAATGACTACTGCTTGCTCAATGAAATAAACCTCGCAATCTCATCGCAGTGATTATTGTTTGCTAGCAATAATTTTGACATTGAAACTGCTACTGCAGAAATGAACATGTGAAGTGAGGTTTTCAAAAAATACTTGTAGCCGGATGCTTGTCTTCCTATATCTCATAGTTTTGATTGCCCATTTTATCCATCCTGGTTGAAATGTTCTTCAATGCCTTGCTGTGTTTGTTGCCTTTTTGTGTGGCTTCCCCACATGCTACAGATGGTTTTCGATAGCCTTCCTATAAGTCCAAAATTTTAGCTAATGTGACGGAGAACTGCTAACGGCAATGATGGATAAAGACTCAAATTCCTTAGCCTAAGCGGTAGCCAAATAACATCTTTTCTGAATCACACGATTTGCATCGATTGATGAAGTAGTAAAGCCAGTAGGTGACAGATATTGTTCCCTACAGAAAAGGTACATTGATGACAAACTCATATGGAGGAATTAGAAATGTCTTCTACATTCACTATCAGATGAGAATTTATATGTAGAAATGAATTAGTCTAACTTTTTCCTGGAGATTAAATGCAGTGTTTCGTGTTTCAGATCGGATTGCTCGATATATAAATTTTATTTAGCATATTATACATGTTTCGAGCTATACTTGGCTCGTTGTCAAAACAATATAAAGAGACAACTGATTAAATCACTTCCTCATATCTGTCCTCTAAGCAGTAGATTACACTGTACTGCTGTACCTACT